GTACATGTACTGACACAGTCTCCACTATCAGAAATGTTAAAAGCTACCCAAACAGAAAACCTTGGCTGAATGCAGAGGTGCGTACCCTGCTGGAAGCCAGGAACACTGCCTTCAGGTCTGGAAACTCAGAGGAGCTGAGTAGGACAAGAAAAGAGCTGGTTGCTGGTATTAAGAAGGCCAAGGCCACATATGCACAGAGGATCGAGGGTCAATTCATCTCACAAGACCCTCGGAGCATGTGGAGGGGCATTAAGTGCATAACAGATTATAAAGGAAGAAGCAAACAATGCCCCAAAGACCCATCTCTGCCTGATGTCCTCAACAAGTTCTATGCACGCTTTGAAGACACAAACAGACCACCCAGCACCAGACTCACCTCACCACTGGATGAAGAGCATCTCAGCGTGACCTCAGCAGAAGTAAGGAGTACCTTCAGGAGGATTAATCCGCACAAAGCAACTGGCCCAGACAACATACCTGGAAAAGTGTTGAAGGAATGTGCCGATCAGCTCTGTGAGGTGCTGGCAGACATCTTTAACACCTCACTTACCCTGGAGACAGTTCCCACCTGCCTGAAGACTGCCACCATCATCCCAGTCCCAAAAAGCTCTACAGTGACTGGTCTGAATGACTATCGGCCAGTGGCCCTCACCCCGATAGTTGCTAAATGCTTTGAAAAACTGGTCATGACTCACATCAAAACAACCATCAACATCAACGAGGACCCTCATCAGTACGCATACCGTGAGAACCAATCAACAGAGGATGCAATCTCCTCTGTGGTCCACACTGCGCTCAACCACCTGGAGCAGAAAAACTCTTACGTCCGTATGCTCTTTGTGGACTTCACATCCGCCTTCAACACCATGATCCCCCAAACCCTGATGGACAAACTATCCACACTAGGACTAAGCCCCTCCATTTGCAACTGGGTACTAGACTTTTTAACAAACAGACCACAGTCAGTGAGGATCCACAACCTCTCCTCCTCCACCATAACCCTCAGCACTGGCTCTCCTCAGGGATGTGTGTTGAGCCCCCTCCTGTTTACTCTGCTCACGTATGATTGAGCAGCTACCCATCCAGGCTGTCACATTGTAAAGTTTGCAGATGATACAGCGGTGGTGGGATGCATCACAAACAATGATGAGTCCAGCTACAGGCAGGAGGTGGAACACCTGGAGAGCTGGTGCAGAGAGAATAACCTTCACATCAATGTGAAGAAGACAAAGGAGATGACTGTGGACTTCAGAAGGAACAAAAACATCTATACCCCCCTGAACATAAGAGGATCTGCGGTGGAAGTGGTCTCCAGCTACAAGTACTTGGGTGTACACATGAATGACAACCTCAGCTGGAGCAACAACACCACCAGCCTGATCAAGAAAGCTCATCAGAGACTCTACTTCCTCAGACGGCTGAGACGAGCTGGTCTGGGAAGCTCAGTCCTCACCTCCTTCTACAGGTGTGCAGTGGAGAGCATCCTGTGCTCCAGCATCAATGTGTGGCATGAAGGCTGTACAGAAGACTGTCAGAGTCAGCCTCCCCACCATCACAGACATCTACACCTCCAGATAAGAGGATGACACAGGAGTGGATTTTCACTCCTGTCCTGTCCTGGTCCCACAGAAATAATCCTGTCCTGTCCCACTCCTAGTAACATGACTCCTGCTCCTGTCCTGCTCCTGTTTTTCATTTATTTTTTAGGAAATACATTGAATTTGATTTGATCTTCTACCCATTCCTGTTTAAATTACTTTGTGTTGTGCAGTTTTATTTCAAAAGATATGGCAACAGGAACAGTTCGTCTATGGTGAAATAGAGACATTTATTGTCTTAATCCAAACAAGAACCTTCACTAAATGTCATAAAACAAATAATACATGGCCTGTAGTCCATATACTGTTTCTACGGAGGATCAGCTGCTGAGTCGGTTTCTGGCTCTTTTGAAGGTCAGTTACAGTAAAAACAAAAAATCTAAACCAGTCCATGGGTCACACCATGTCTACTTTAGATGAAAGAACCCAAACATAACAAGTTGCATTTTACTAATTTATTGAACAATTGTTTCCTTTAAACAGTGACATCACTGTCATGTTTTAAATTGTTTAAACAAACAAAAAAATAAAAATAATGTACCAAGCAAGAGAACTCAACAAATAAAAATATTTAAAGGCATTATTATACATTGG